GGTCGGTCGTATCACAGCAGCACGTGCGGCATATGACACGACCAAGTTTGAATACGAGCAGCTTCTCAAGGATCAACAGTTCGATTTCCACGCCAACGTCAATGAGCGTGGCACATCACACTTCTTCCGAAGGCCGCGTGGCTACAAGGTGCCCATTTGTACGACAACTCTTGATGGCGTCACTGTCCGCAGTCCAAGCTGCGTTTATGGACCATTGGAAGTCTATCATGACGAGGCCAATCAATGGATCACGACAAATCAACCGTACCCAACGCCGAGCTATGCTTCGTGCCATCACAAAAAGGCTGACACCGGATCAGCGCGAGGAATTGGAAAAGCCGATCACTGACACCGAACAGTGCGCCTCTCTCAAGACTATGAAGCCCAACAAGTCGCCAGATCCTGACGGTTGGCCTGCTTGCTTCTTTCAAGTCGCACCCGATGTGTTCTCGAAGATCTTAGTCAAGGTTTTCAACTACCATGCTTGGTGAGTACCAACAACTCACCAAGCATGGGAAGCTGCTGCACCAACAGCGACGAAGTGCCGTGGCGCTTCTATTCAAAGACGATGATCGCGGCAATCCTGGTAATTATCGACCTATCGCTCTCATGTCCGTGGAAGTCAAGATTCTCTCGCGTGCACTTGCATATTGTCTGGCTTCAGTGGCACCTCAACTCGTCCATCCAAGTCAAGCGGGGTTTGTTCCTGGTCGACGTCTTCACGCTCACGTTATGCTGGTCCAAGCTCTGCAAACCTTTTGCACAAACGAAGACCACGATTATTACGCTACGTTTCTGGACTTCTCCAAGGCCTACGGCATGGTGGACCAAGGCTTCGTTTTCGACGTCTTGACGGAAATGAACATTGGTCCCGCTTTTATCGCCTGGGTGCAACTGCTGTATGAATCCCCGATTGTCCAACTCATCTTCGGTGTCTCGCTTGGCCCTGTCATTCGTCCGAACCGAGGAGTGAAGCAAGGTTGTCCATTGTCGTGCCTACTCTTTGTGTTCTACCTGGAACCGCTGGGCAAAATGCTTCGTGCACAACCACATCACGGCATACCGCTACCCAATGGTGACATCATGACAAGTATCTTCTTTGCTGACGATTCCACCCTGCTCTCCAACTCGCTGCCGTCAGCCGTTGCACAAATGGAAGTCGTGGACACCTTTTGTTCTGTGTCTGGCGCGCACTTGAACCAGCGGAAATACATGACACTTGTGCTCAACGACCACCTCGACCCTGATGACGTCGAAGCAGGTGACCTTCTCAACATCCTGCCGTCCGGCGAACCAGCAAAGTACCTTGGTGTGCTGTTCGGCCACTTCCAAGTTCAAATTCTCCGTGACAAGTTCTTGACTGCGTTTCCGTTGTGGAGAGGCTGCGCTCGGACACTACAAGGTCGCAAGTTGTTGGTGTCTACCATGCTGTGTCTATGCTTTGGCATGTCACCACGGCTGTCCCAATCCCCCAACACATCGTGGATGAAATGCAGTCGATGACCAACAAGTTCATTCTGGGAAGGAAGACTTTACGAGCCGACAAGTTCAGAGCCTTCCTCAACCGACCACTGCAATTCGACAAGACTCTTGGACTTGGTATTCCTCATATCGCATCGATCATTCGGCAACAGCGCCTTGTTCGACTTCAGCAACTCATGGCGAATACTCGCAGCGACGGCACTCCTTCGTGGCGACCACTTGTTCAACGTCAGTTTGCTCGTGTCATGGGCCATCTCTACCGCGATGACTACCCGCTCGACTTTCTGCTGTACTTTCCCAACACAAGCTCACGGTGGATTGCGCTGTATGAGCTGCATCCGTTGTGGCGTGACGTGTGGAAACACTGGTCGGCCATTCCCATGGCCAAGCGAATCGAAACACCCCCAACGTTCAACATGGTGATGAACATGCCTTTGTGGCTGACATCGGACGAGCTACTGCATTTCGGCCGTCCCAAGTATACAGCGTGCCTTGCAAGTGCGCCAAATATTCGTCGGTGGTGCCTGCATGGTGCAAGCATGGACTGCGAAGCCTGAATAATTTCCTCAACACGGATGGTTCCTGGTCAACCTTGGCCACGTTCGTCTCTCGCATGTCCCAAGGCAACCCAGCTGCTCGAGTAAGCTTCAACGCATCCCGTGACCGAATGGAGTTCATCGCGATTGAGCGCACTGTCCCAATCTACCTCCACATCACTCAAGTCTACGAACAAGTCCGACGACTATTCGACCTTCGTCCTGGGGCACCACCGCCGGGCATCCCACGAACAAGCCATCCGTTCTTTGGGTCTGTGAAGGATCAAAGCCAAAGCTTTTGTGCACGGCCCAAAAAGAAGTTATTCAGCTTGGCTCACCATGTCCCACCAGTGACAAGTCCTCATCCAGCGGCGTCGACAACTCGCGCATCCACTGAAGATTTGACCAAGTACATGCGCTTCGTTCGACGGACGTGCCGTATACCAACTCCAGTTCAAGGCGACGTTTGGCTTCGACTTATCCTTCGCATGCTTCCCGTCAACAGCCGTTTCGCTTACATGCAAATTATCGGCCCCGATGCCATTGCATGCACGTATGGGTGCGGTACTGTCGAAACCGAGCACCATGCATTCCACACGTGCAAAGAAGTCTTTCCAACATGGCAATTCCATGCAAGGGCCTGGCGTTGGTTTGGGGTTCGTTTCGACTGGGCTAC